ACTGGGTTGTTTTTCTGCAGTTTTCCTCTTGAAAAGTGTCACTTCGCCCAACCCCTAGAAACTTCTTGTCTTATAGGTTTATCAGTGCAATGCATTGGACATTGGCTTGGGCAATTTGTAACACTAATTCTGAATCCTGACTTTTTTTTTTTTTCATGGAAACATGCTTTGCAATAAATCTTTTCTGGAGAGACTATCAGATTCAGTCCTGCAAGCCGGACATGAATGCTCTTTCACTTCAGAATAGCTTCCCAGAGACAAAAGTATCAGCAAGAACAAGTGTCCATCAGTTAGTAAAACATGTCTCATCTCAGCTAGCTCCATACCTAACCTATCCATTGGCTCAATCAATTCAGTTTAAATGTCCACCACACTAGTGAAAGATTAGGCTCAATACTGCTATGCAAGGGAGCACCATGGCTTGAGACAATATTTTTCAACATTGTATTTGGATGTATAGCCAGGTAAAGTCTTGCCATTTAGAAACAAAGTTTCAATCACGATTTTAAAGTAAATCACGAATTTCTTTGTGGACAGCAGATTCATAGTGGACATCCTTTTGCATAGTGGGAGTTCTCCGTTATTTTCCTCAACAAAACAGGTCTGTCCTGATAGAGTTTTCTTGTAGGTGTTCTCATCAGAATGTATCAGTCTTCAGTGAAGCTCTTTATCATGAGGAATAAAGTGTAGGGATGCTGTTCTTAGTAGAGATAGAACCTTACAGACGAAGTTTATCTATCCTCTCATCATATCTTTTTGCCACACAGATATGCATTTATGCTGTATTCTAAAAAAGTGATAGCAAGTGAATGTGCAGCAAATTCCACCATTAAAGGTTGGGGAGAGGATGCCTGTAAGTAAGAAAGAAAGAACAAAAATACACCAGTTTCTCTACTTTCTAACCCACCAAATGGTGTCTCTCTTAATAACCCTGGCTGTCCAATAAGTTAAATAAGTTGGTGTAACTTCTTGCTATACACATCCTTTCTCCCCCATCCTGATTACATTTTTGTATCCTGTAACATGTTGGTGTTTTCCCACAGAGCATGATGGATTAAGTTTCAGTGCCTTTATTTCTTGAATTCTGTCCACATCATTTTTTTGCCCCTAAAGGTAAGGAAACCTAGGTATTTTTAGTAGACATTTTGAACGAGAACAGATGCTTGCCGTGTAAATGTGCGGGCCACTCTGAATTAGGGAAGACCAGCCTGACACTTGGACCTGTGAGTGGTTAGATGCACAGTTAGGCGCATTTATCTAAATGGACAGTTATGTAAATCTAATGCTTTTGCTTGATTACTATTCTGTCTCTTTCAGCAGGTTGTCTCTTTTCTGAAAAAGGTTATAAACATCAGGGAAAGTATACTGAAGAATAGAATTGATTAATGTGACATATTTGAGTTTCTTTCTACCACTCTCTCAACAGCATGTCATAAAGAGGCAGCTCCAAACACAGTGAATTAAATTTAAATTACACAGCTTTGGCTAGAAGATTGTTCAGTTAATTGAGCCTCCAAAATGAAATTTGATTTTTTTTCCCCTTACACGAGCCACTTCCTGATTTTTCATAGAGTGATGATTTCTGCCAAGGCATCTATTGATTCAAGATCTTTTTTTTTTTTTTTTAAGATTTTATTTATCAGAGAGAGAGAGAGACAGAGGCAGGCAGAGGGAGAAGCAGGCTCCTTGCTCAGCAAGGAGCCCGATGTGGGACTCGATCCCAGGACCCTGGGATCATGACCTGAGCCGAAGACAGACGCTTAACCAACTGAGCCACCCAGGCACCCCTGATTCAAGATCTTTTATTCAGAAGACTATTGCTGGTTTTCCCTTTCTAAGGGGGGAAAATATGAAAAACAAGAACATATATTCATTATACCAGGAAAAGTATATTAAAAACTAAAATATAGTTTTACAGTAGGGTCGTATTTGTACAGTGATTTTTTTTTTCTACTGTAGGAGGGCTGTAGAAGGTACTACTTATTTTATGATGGTTTTTGTTATTTTAGGTACTGTGTTTTGTGAAAGATAACACTGAGAACATCCTCACACTTTCTGTTTGCTGTGGAATTGTTCCAGAAGAATGTAGAAAATAGGTCAACTTTTAAAGCAAAATTTAACTTGTATGGCCTAAATAATTTAGTCTTCATGAAACACTATCCACTGAGTCCCACATTTTTAGCCCATGAATTTATTTTAAGAGGCAGCCTTCATTATTTATATTTGATGTTTGATTGCTATTCAAAATGTAAACCTAGGCAGTAAAAGATGGAAGCTTAGTTCAACAAAGTACCAATATAGCTACTGTATTTTGATATAAATACTAATGTGGGATCAAAAGTTGGGACTAATTCACATGTACAACTTCCGGTTTAATATCTAAAATTATATTATAAATATAGTGCAAAAAAAGTTTAAATCAGTGCTACATTTATTGCAACAACAACAATAATGTTGATAATATCACAACCTTTATGAGCATTTACAATGTTGTCCTATTTTAGATAGTTTTTCTGACTAATCCTTACAACAATGGGAACTTTTAGGCTCTCCATTTTTTCAGGTGAGAAAAATAAGGCTCAGAACAAGTTTTACACTTTTAAAGCAGTTTCACAACTTCCGCACCATTTACATTGTGGCTCATAAAATTCTTTGCTGTGGAAGGGCTGTCACGGGCATTAAAGGATGTTGTGTCTCTGCAACGGAAGCTGATGCTAACATCCTATTAGGATAGGAATCTCATTGGATTCTAATAGTAGCAGACAGCCCTCCACGAGTCCCCAGCCCAGTTGTGACAACCTAAAATGTCTCCAGACATTGCCAAATGCCCCCCCACCCCCTCACAAGCCCCCGGTGATGGAGGAGAAAGGGGGCGGCATCACTGCTGGGATGAGAAACACAGGACGAAAAAATTTATTCTCATCTTCCTCCTCCCCCTGTCAAGAACAGAACAACAACCCTATCCTAATTTCATCAATATAATTAAAATTCCTCAAGGGAAATGAGAAATTCTCTTGTAACCTTGAAAGTAACTTTATTTTTTTTAAATGTTTTATTTATTCATGAGAGTCAGAGAAAGAGAGAGAGAGAGAGGCAGAGGGAGAAGCAGGCTTCCCGCCCAGCAGGGGGCCCGATGTGGGACTCGATCCCAGGACCCTGGGATCATCATGATCTGAGCCGAAGGCAGATGCTCAACCATCTGAGCCACCCAGGCACCCCTTGAAAGTAACTTTAAAGAGTATCTACTGTGGCTCAGAAAAAAAGTAGCTTTCCACTTGAAGGTGGCTCTAAAAAAAAAAAAAGCAGATATTCTGCTCAGGGGTGATTTGGAACAATTGACCTCCAAGACCTCATAATCCAATAACTTGCTATTATCAAGTCCATTTGGATGTTATCCGGCAAAATATGCTGGTGCTAAAGGGAGGATGGGTTTTGCCTTTTACAGCTCACTTTAATGAAAGAGGCCTGCGTGACCATAACACCAATTGCTGGCAGTTATCACTGACACGAACAGTTACAATTCCAGGAAAACTGATACTTTGAACTAACTCTCTTAAAATAACAGCAACAAAATAAACGAATCCAGTCACCCAAACATCTCTTAGGAGAATGAAGAGCAAAATAACATGAAACCATCTCAAAAATGCTATTTAAATGCTTGTATTTATTTAAAGTTACATCATTAGGTGTTAGCATCTGAACAAATTATTTTTCAGTAAAGACCGTGCCCTCGAAAGAATTTTAAGCCAAGTTTTCATCACGAACCTGTATTATCCTTCATCTTCATTCTTCAAAATGGCATAATTTTCCTAACATTTATTTGTTTATACTTTAATCTCTGACTATACTAAGACCTCCTTTAATGAAAGTGAGTCATACCATATTTCTTTTTTTTCCTTTAATGTAGGATCTATATTATTCTAATTGCATTTTTAAATAAGGACTTCATCAGTGTTGTGGTTCTGAGTATTGTCTAAACAATTACAATCTCTGTAATCCTTAGCCGATGTAATGAGATAGTTTCTGTCTTATACATTGAATTCTTTGTTACTTCAGCATTAGCCAAATCTGATGCAAACCTTCACAATTTCCATGCAATATCTCTGCCGAGTTTACTGCTGCTTGTAAGTGGCAGTAAAGAACAACCTTTGGTACTTGTAAATGTGTTGATTATGTGGCTAACTACTAGGATTTACACACTCTGCTTTTTATTACAGTGATGGTTATCTTTTTGCTGTAAGTGCAATGAAGCAACTAGAATGTCACAGAGAAAACTGTCACCTCTATCCTTTTTGCCATAAAATATCATCCTCCCCATACGCTTTTCATTTATTATGAAACCTTAATAATGAAAAGGACAATGGTGAAATGATACCCGCTAATGAATATTGCAAAACTAATAATCAAGTGTGAAAGCTACACACATACACATACATGCAGTTCCTTAAATGGACTATATTTGCTTCCCTTTAATGCATCAGTGAAAAATATTCTCTACTTAATCTGTGTTTCCTAATAATGACAAGCTATATCTCAAAGATTCATCAAATCCTACCTTGTCATGAATATAAAAGATTATAGCTGTTCTGCTTTTAGGAAACGAAGCACAAGTACTGCATAAAGGCTACTGATGCATACTTTGTAGCACTCCAGGGTTGTAATAAATTTCAAATCATCTGCTTCTGCCAGGTTGTTTTAAACCCCTGTATGCTACTATGTGCAGTTGAATGGATGGGTATCTACAAGTTGGCTACCACCATTTCCATGTCCTTATGTAAAATAAACTATAATCAGGTTTTCACAAATATGCAAATACTTCCATGAGAGATCTGAAATAGGTTGAAAAATGTAGGCTCTGTGTTCTTGGGAAGGGAAATACTGAATTTGATTTCTCAACCTATCAGGAAAACACAGACGATGTTTCACTTGTCATTGAGATAAAGATGAGAGTATCTGCTGGGTCCCTTTAAATTAATCTACTCAATGTGATTCTTTTGCAGACCACAGATGACATCCTTGTGGCCTCAGCAGAATGTCCCAGCGATGACGAGGACATTGACCCCTGTGAGCCGAGCTCAGGTGGGTTAGGTTAGTCGACTTTTTTTCTTACTTTTTTTGCTTTACTCTAAATCTGTGTTGCATGCTGTAGTCCTTAGACAAGCCTTGCATTTATATCTAGAAGCCCACCCCATTAAACAATGCCTCATTGTGAGATAAGGGGTTTTGCTCTTTACGTGGATAAATTCCCCCAAATTTATTGGAAAACAAATTTTAAAAACAGAACCCATCAAGATTATGTATTTCAGAAAAAGCAGTGGGGGACAGCGCACAAGGCTGGTGCCTTACTGTTCACATTCCATTAACTCACAATGTAATTTTTGTGTATAACGGTATAATGAGCTTTCCCTTGGGTCACCTACAGTAAAATTGTAAAGCTTAAAAATTGCAGTGCATTGTGGAAAATTATTTGACCTTTCTACTGACAAAAAGTCCCCACCACTCACTCTGCCAGCAAATTATCTTAAGTGATAAATTTCTGAATTTCAGAAGTAAGAGTATTATGGTGTAGTAAAACAAACAGCAGGCAGAATCCTTGATACATTTAATAGAAAAATATTTGATTCTTGCCACGTCTTCCTAAAATTTAAGCTGATGCATTTTAACTCTAGTTGATGCATAATTTCTCCTCCTTCTTTGTCATATGGTGTGACTATCACAAAAATACTGTTTCCAAAGCAGCCCTGTACCATTGAGTGGTGGCTATGAACTCTGAAAATGAGTGAATCGTAGTCTGGGTTTGCTTCCACGTATTCATAATACCAAATATCAGGGTCATTTCCATTCGTTTCCTCTGTAAAGCAGCGTTTCTTCAAATTCAGTAATTTTCTTGTTTAGGTAAACAAGGTGAGTGCGACGAATATAGACTAACCACTGTCAGTTAGCTCATGACCTCTGCAGCTGTCACGGCAATCCCAGAAGAACTTCAGGTCACCATAAAATAATTTGTATTCTTCTGAAGACTGTCACTTTGAAGTGAATCCATTATTCTGATATTTGGATTAAAAAAAATGGCTCAGGATGCATACCTTGCATCTCCTTTTGAATATCATTTCCCACTGATTGTAACCACATACTTTGAACGCTTGGAGCAGCTACTAGGTGCCAGCAAGGAACAGGCACTCAGAGTCACACCTCAGCAGGAGAAGGTCAGGGGACACACACAGGTCATGTTCTTGTCCTCCTTTCTCTGGTCTATCCACCTCACCCATCAAAATTCTTGGCCTCCAGAATGTGGTGAGAACTCTGAGGATCATCCACTCCATTCCTCCAGTTTATTGGTCCCTGCAACAATTCCCTTTTGGTTGTCTGGACAGATAGGGTCACTTCATGATACCATCCTGGGCCTCTTTTGCCAAGTTCCTGCCTTTTTTCCCCACTGGTATTCTCACTCTCTCTGTTAGTAAAAATTAAAAAAAAAAAAGTTATTTCTTTTTTGTCCATTACATCAGCCCCATTTCTTTGCCTTCTCCTTCCCTAAATTTCTTCTTTTTTAATTTCTCTTACTTTCACATGTCCGATCATGACATTATTTTTTTTATTTTTTAAATTTTTTATTATTATGTTCAATTAGCCAACATATACTACATCATTAGTTTTTGATGTAGTGTTCAGCGATTCATTAGTTGCATATAACACCTGGTGCTTGTCACCATATGTGCCCTCCTTGATATCCATCACCTGGTTACCCTATCTCCACATCCCCCTCCCTTCTGTAACCCTCAGTTTGTTTCCTGGAGTCCAGAGTCTCTCATGGTTTGTCTCCCTCTCTGATTTCTTCCCATTCAGTTTTCCCTCCCTTCCCCAGTGGTCCTCCGTGCTATTGCTTATGTTCCACATATGAGTGAAACCATATGATAATTGTCTTTCTCTGCTTGACTTATTTCACTGAGCATAACCCCCTCCGGTTCCATCCATGTTGATGAGAATGGTGGGTATTCATCCTTTCTGATGGCTGAGTAATATTCCATATTGACATTCTTTTTTATATCTGATTTTCTCTGAGATCCTTTAGCATGGATTGTTCATAAAACAAAGTCTGGTGTTAGGTATTAGGTTGTACATTGGGGGGGTGTGTGTGTCTGTGTCTGTTTATATTTGGATTTGATTTTGTTTTCCCAGTTAGCATTTTCTTGAGAGAATGTTGATTTTTGCAGTATTTCTTACTATATTAACATGGTGCTGAAAGCAGTATAGATTCTTACTAAGTACAGCACTTGCTGTACTTGGTTTTCCTCTGGCCTGAATCTTTCTTCTGCTGACTGAGTATAGGTCATCATCCTTTTTATATATAGAGTCCTCACCCTGAGTACCTAGCAAATTCAGTGTGAGAACTCTCACTGCACTTAAATTGTTTTGTTTTGTTTTGTTTTCTGTCCTGAGCACAGCTAAATGATCCAGCCATTGCTTACAGGTCTTACTAACCATTCTTTATAGACCAGTTCACTGTCTCCCCCTTTCTCTGGGGACACTGGCCCTTAATAACAGGACGTGGGGGTGGGGGGAGGAGAAGAGAGGAGAGAAAGGAGGGGTTACCCTTTCGTCACCCTCTCTCCTTTTTATTCACCTGATTTGTGTCTCTTTTCTTACATATTATAGCATGATGAAAAGTGAGGAGCTGTTTGTTAATAGCCATACTCTAGATAATCTTTCTGTCCCATTTTCTTTACCATACTTATCACTATCAGAAAGAAGCTTGTTTGCTTACCTGTTCGTTACTTGCTCATTAATGCACACGTTGCATTGCCCCACAAGAACGCACGTAAGCTCCGAGAAGCCGGAACCCTGTATGGGTTTGTTGTGTGAATTTTCATTTTCTTCCTCTGCATCAGAGTCTCTTGTCCAGTGTCCAAGGCACAGCAGCTACTGGCCATGTGTGATGACAGCTCCTTCCAGATTCTTGCACCAAGTCTACTGGAACTTCCCATCCTCCCCTTGGTGTTTCTTTCCACACTCCATAGCTCTCAGTTCATCAATTCTCTTAAGGCTTAAACTTCAAATTCTGTTGCTTCAATGTCATCTTTCTCTGTAGGGCTCTTCTTGTGATCTTGGTAGTGTCTTGATGGTGTATTTCATGAATGCACCTCTTTCTACATTACATTTTGTAAGTGAGAGCTCTTTTCTACATTGGCTTTTTCTGTCCATTTCCCTATGATTTCTTTCATACCCATCTTTAATAATTCATGCAGTGTTGCTCTTTTGGCAGACTTGGCTCTGTGTGACAGATTCTTATGAAATCCTCAGCGTATATGATTTTTTTCTATTTTCCAACTATTTTTTGAATAGCAGTGTTTTTTTTTTTAAATCATATTCTAATCTGAATATTGTTTCATTGTAGGATGCCTTTCCTGCACGTCTTTGTTTCTCAGGGTACCGATGTACTGGTTTTCTTAAATATATTTTTCTTCCTTGCTTTTCATCTTGAATACAAACATAAAATAACATGGACAAAAACTGTAGTTGCTGCTGTTATTAGACTTTAGATACTGTTAGATGTAACTTGATAGAAACCATTTCAGATATCAGCAGGTCATATTTTGGGAAACTGATTTTTTTTTAGGAAAGTAACATGGTAAATTAAATATTCAGTAATGGATATATCTGCTCTGCACTTTTCCTAATCCTTCAACAAGTGAAAGATATTTTTTTAAGATTCATTTGTTTATTTGAGAGAGACAAAGAGTGGGGGTAGGGGCAGAGGGAGAGAATCTTCAAGCAGACACCCTGCTGAGTCTAGAGCCAGATGCAAGCCTCAACCCCACAACCCAGAAAACATGACCTGAGCCTAATCTAAAAGCTAGCCGTTTAACTGGCTGAGCCACCCAGGCACCCCAACAAAAGAAGATATTTTTGTAAAAAGATGCATAATTACTTTGATAGGTTGCCCAAATCTTCTCTGTATTTCACACTAACCTCTTTCAGGCTCCCTGAATATTTACATGTGAAGGCTCTCTAATCACCCTAACCCACCTTGTCTTGAAAAAATGGTTTCTTCTGTGAAAATGAGTTATGCTCATTTAGGTGCCTTCCTAAGGTGCTATTAATGAAAGAGGAAGAATCTGGCATGTTCTTGAACACAAGTAAACTATACCTTTTATCAAGTGTTTGATAAATTTGAATTACTATTTGGTTCCACTCAAAACTCTTAATGAAGAGGGAAGTTGTATATTCGGTGGATTGCCAGTTTCACCATTGATCAAGTGGTGTTGAGTCCTATTTCACCACCCACTGCTCTGTTAAGCTCTGGGAACAAAAATAGAACGTTTACACCTTCAGTTCCATTCTACAAAAGGACATCTTTCATTCTACGCCACATGCTTTTTCAGTTATTCTTTATGATTGCTGGGTTCTTCATCTTTGACATTAAAATATTCACCTATTTTTCATGTTGTTGCAAGAATTAAAACAAATATATTTAAGGCACCAACTGCAATACCTGGCATGAAATAGAGCATGAATGGTTGCTTTTCATTTTCCCAGTTCAGTTATTTAAAAAAAGAATATTCAAGCTATTTTTTCCCTTTTACGTAATGCTGTTACTTTTCCTGGCTGAAAAATTGGTGGGCAACTGATGAAACCACTCAGGCCTCCTGGTGGGAACTGTGCATGTTGAAACTGGATCAGGAGCAACCCCCTGGGTGAGAACACATGGAACTCAATTATACTTGGTTCCAGCCACACTGTCCTGCATGGTTAGCATTGGATGACAGCTTCACATTGGTATAAATTTAGTGCTTGAGAATATGAGAGTGTGCTATACAATTTAGGAGGTCTAATGGAACCCCAACTTTTAGAATGAAGCAACTAGGTCACAGGCCACCATTGCCCTAAAATGCCCGGTTTCAGCAGCCTGGACATGTGACAAGTGGGTGACTTTTTCTTCACACTTCCAAAAAGACTTGCAACTTCTGTGCTTTTCCCTAAGCCTAGAGATATGAGTTGTTACATTAAATGAATTAATATGTGGAAAGCATGTTGTAGAACAGTGTCTTCGTCATAGTACATGCTCTATGAGTGTTTGCTGTTATTAT